TTTTTTTTAATTCATTATTCCTATGCCCCTAAAAATACATCTTCTAAATGACTCTATTTTTATGTTATATTTAAAGCTCTTGCCTTCTCTGTTCTAGGTCATTGTCTTTCATTGAAATATGACCAACGTTTATTATAGCAAGGTGCCGGAAGCAAACTCAAAACTCAGCGTCCTTCTGAACTCTGAATCTTCCCTGTTAAGAGCTGGATTAGATGGAAGGTACACTGTTCAACTCGGATTTCATGGCAGCACCTGGCCTCTACTCAGAAGCTACTGCTCTGTCCCAACGTCCACTAGGTCAGGAGATACAGAGATCCAGCTCTAAAAATAGCATGCTGTAGCTAGGTGGGGGAGTTGCGGGAGTGAATTATTGCGGGGAGCAGAAATAGGTTACTTTTCTCCTGTTTCCAGGATGTGGCCTGGAGGGCAGGTGGAACATGCCTGATAGTGTGCCTTCGCAAGTGGCTTTCACTAAAAAAACCCAAGATCTAGGAGCTGAAATCCACAGTAACGGTCATGCAGTGTAACTCCTGGTACCTCCTCAAGTCTCTGTGGACCTCTGAATGCGGGGCTTTGCTCAAAATCCACGACACGTGGGAAGTCTGGGCTCTACATCCCCAGAACAGTTGTCCTCCTCCAGCACTAGCTTACTGAAAATCTATGTTGGGCGTTTGATTCTCTGTAGAGTTGCCCATAGCCATGTACCTTAAGTCACAAGAGTTGGTTCAAACCAGCAGCATTCACCTGGGCAGAGATGTTTTTCCTGCAGAAAGATGTTGGGTGGGTGCCCACCTTCACGCACTGCTCCTGGATACCCTTCTTCAGTTCTGCAGCTCAGCTTTGTGCTTGAGGCCGCGCTGTGGAAAGCTAAGGTGGCTGGAGTTTATGGCAAGTTAGTGGTTCATTTCCGTAAAACACAAAAAGGTTTAAATCTAGAAAGGGGTTAAAAAGTGCTAGATGCATCTTTTAGCTAGATAATTGCCAGAAAAGGCATTGACCAATTTTGCAACGTTGCCTGCTTCTCTCAGAAGGTCAAGCGCTCAAGCATTGTAACTTGCCACCCTTCTGTACATTTTTATGGGCAGCTGATGTGGAAGAGCCACTAGTTTTACACCTGGGTGTAGCACACATTTGTAGGTGCACATAGATATTCTAATATTCAGAAATAAGAAACATTTGCATTAGAAAAAATCAGGTCTCAAATAATAAAACTCTGATAACTTCCAACTTTATAATAATGCTGACCATAAGGCTAAGCTTAAATTAATTGTCAAGTAGAGGTGCTGGTCTAGAAATGCGACATTTCAAGAAAATGTTCCACAGAACTGCTAGAAGTCTGTGTCCCTTAAATGATACTGATGACAATTTTAATTCTAACACTGCCACACAGCATTAGAAACTCAGTTACTAAGAAGGGTTGTGCTGGTATTAAGAGAAAAAATATTCTCATTGTCACTCGGCTATGAAGGAGCTCCGTTCCAGGCAGATAAGCAAAACGAGGGACAACTTTTCTTTTTATGTTTCGTATTGGTTTGAACCGAATTTCAGGCAAAAATGATTCGCAGCGTTATTAACATGGGGGAAAAAAAAATATCCTAAGAAGTCTGCCTGGATTCTCCATCAATAACAAACTCAAAATTAAGTTGAAATGCTCTCTTTCAGGGAACGAGGTCCTACTGTTTGCATTATGTACAGTGCTAGACCAAATGTTTGGGTTGTCCCCATTAGCAGCTGCACCACTAAAGCGAGGGTACAGTACCACAGGAATGCAGTGGTCTCCGGTACCCCGAACGCCAACAGAGGAACAGAGCACGCTGGCCATCCACACCCC